TAATAAAAAGCTTAATGGAACCAAATTCTGAGGAGCAGTTTTATTGTCAAGACATGCTGTTACATGCCTAGATTCACTTATCTGCACTCACGCAGTCACTAATATCATTAAGAAGCTAAATTAAAGTGCACAAACCTGCTTATGACAGCACAAAAATAATAAAAAGTCTTATCAAGAGGCATTAATAAGTGCACAATTCATTTACATAATTGCTGCTCTTTTTTTGACACAGAAAACACTGGGAGAGGTTCTGATAACCCAAAGCATCAGCCTACAGACACAACGGCCATTACTTTCAATCAGAATCCATCAAATTGAGCGATAACAGAGACCAAGCACACTCTTATCCAGGAAATCCATGTCATTCATTGGTTAAAATCTGAAAACCAGCAAAAATGTCAGTCAAAACCATGCTTTTAATCTAAACAGAGGGTGTTTGGATTCAATTTTAAAGCTAGCTCAAGCTATATACCTATGCATTTGCTTTATTTTCTCTCACCCCAGAGAGCAAAGCCTCTCTTGGCGTTAAGAGCTCTGGCACTTTTCCAGAGAGGTGAAGCTCTCTGAAATCTTCTCATATCCAGCTCTGTGATCTCACAATGCAGCGCCAGAGCCAGAGCCAGAGGTGTCTCTAAGAAAGAGTCGCATTGTCTTTGAATGCACATTGGAAAGGTCACAACATCCTGGAGGCCAGAACATCTCTGGAGAGACACCAGCACAATCTTGTGAGAGTTTCTCATGTTTGATGTGGCACCTCAGCTGATGAATTACAAAATTGAATGGAATGTGTGCCGATATATCCACTCAGTTCAGGATAGGGAACTGCTGATGTAATATTAGTCACGCTCAAGAGAATAGTAAATAGCGGTCATTTAAAATTCTGGATACAGAGGAAACCATTATGTGATTCTCAGATATTTATTTATCCGTATGATTTTCAAAATCCAGTCAAAAACATGGTCAGGTCATTTTTCACCCCAAAATTAAGAGATATTTATTTATTTTCTTCAGTATCCTAATGGTCTTGCATTTTTTGCTTTGTGACATTATTTTGACATGACAATTAAAGAACAAAAATAAAGTAACTAAAAATGCTCTTTCCAAATCCCTGCCTTGCAAAGACATTTATAAAGACTCAAAGACAATCCTGAACATGCAAAGGAAAAAAGGATCTACAAATGGCGTGTTTCTTTGGCAAGGAAAACAAATTGTCAAATGATCTCTGTTTGTAGAGGCTTTGTAGGTGCAGTTTTCAATCTTTCAACTGATATATACTGATAAAAAAAGTTCCAACATTGAGAACAAGTCACAAAAAAGTAATTGTGTATATATATATATATATATATATATATATATAAGTTCTTCTTCTGGATTGGCTACTGCAACAGTGCCCTGAACCCGCTCATCTACACCATCTTTAACAGGGACTTCCGTAAAGCCTTCAAAAAGATTCTGTGTAAAAAGTATAAGGACTGTTCTTTTTGAAACTGGACAACCCTGAAAAACAGTGTCATAGAGTAAAGTGTCATTGCTCCCTCTAATAGTGAAGCTCACAAAAATGGTCAGGGTCATTTCACTCCAGTATTCAACCTATACTTTGTCATTTTGACATTTTCATGACAAAAAGTCCTTTCAGCCCAGACTATACCATTATTGACTGCACGTTGTATTTTTGAAAGTTGCTAATAATTTCATTCATATATATATATATATGAATGAAATTATTAGCAACTTTCAAAAATACAACGTGCAGTCAATAATGGTATAGTCTGGGCTGAAAGGACTTTTTGTCATGAAAATGTCAAAATGACAAAGTATAGGTTGAATACTGGAGTGAAATGACCCTGACCATTTTTGTGAGCTTCACTATTAGAGGGAGCAATGACACTTTACTCTATGACACTGTTTTTCAGGGTTGTCCAGTTTCAAAAAGAACAGTCCTTATACTTTTTACACAGAATCTTTTTGAAGGCTTTACGGAAGTCCCTGTTAAAGATGGTGTAGATGAGCGGGTTCAGGGCACTGTTGCAGTAGCCAATCCAGAAGAAGAACTTAAAAAGTGGCTCTGGTAGTTTACAAGCCTCTGGACAAATGGCCTGCAAGCTGTAACTGAAGAAGAACGGGAACCAGCAGACGACAAAAACCCCAATGACGACCGCCAGGACGAATGTGAACCGCTTCTCGCGGACGATGAAGGCTTTCCTCCTGGTGTTCGGAGTTCCTGCTGGTGTCATGTTTGAAGAGGACAGCTGGCTGCCCTTTGATGTTATGATGACTTTTCGGTACGTTTGGGTTGGGGAGGATGTCTGGTGGCCAAGCTCCGGCGCCCCCCCCACACTGGAGGTTGTCCCGTTGGCATTATGTCCCCCAATTGCCTCGACGTCGGAGCCGGAGCTTGAACTGTCCTCGTAGTCCTTGCACCTCCTTGAGTGTTTCATCTGCTGCCGACTTTCTGCTGATGATTGAGGCTGGTTTACGGCGTCAGATCTGGATGCAGTCGGATTAGGGACATTCGCAGGGTCAACACCTCCCTGGTTTTCCCCGTTCTGCAGCTCTCGGCCTGGTGGCACACCACCTGCATAGTCTTTCCTCGGCTCTCCCGGAGGACATCTAGTGTGCTTCTTGGCAATCTGATAGATGCGAACGTACACCAGGATCATGATGAGGCACGGGGCGAAGAACGACCCGATGGAGGAGTACAGGATGTACCCGATGTGCTCGTTGAGTTTGCACTGTGGGACCCCATCCTTATCCAGCTGGGTCTTATTCATGGATACCAGCGGGGGGAAAGAGATGACCGCAGAGATGAGCCACACCACCAATATGGCCCCCTTGATCTTGCGAGGGGTGCGTTGGGTCGCGTACTGCACTGGCCGGGAGATGGACAGGTAGCGGTCCAGGCTGATGGCGCACAGGTGTATAATGGAAGACGTGCAGAAGAGCACATCCAGCGCTAAGAAGATCTCGCACCAAAACGACTCAAAGTACCAGTAGCCCATCAGCTCATTGGCCAAGGAGAACGGGATGATCAGTGTGGCCACCAGGATGTCCGCTGCAGCCAAGGACACCAGGAAAAGATTCTGAGGTCCTCGTAAAAAGCGGCACGTCAGGACGGCGATGATCACCAGGATGTTCCCGAAGATGGTGAAGAGCATGATGAGAGTCATTGCGGTGGCGAAGGCAGCTGTGGCTTCAGGAGAATAAGAAAAACTGGAATCGCATGCTTTAACCTCAGAACTAAGATTTTTTCCTGCTCCCAACCTGCACGCCACATCTGGAGGCTGTATTACGGTCATATTGAAGTTCCAGGCTAGACAGAGAAGTGCAAAGCAGTTTTTGATACAGAATTAAATCCTAGCGTAATTCTTCCAAAGACATTCTTTCTTTTAGAAAATCATTTAAAAAGGGAAATAACTAAAATTAGTCTTTACATCAAAGAACGACATCCTTTAGGTGCTTCCTTCGGCGAACTTCAACAAGAAGAAGAAAAAAAAACACGAAAAAAAAAACACTACAAGTCAAGATATTGCACTTGCATTTAAAAGTCCTGTAGTCCGTCTATTTCACAAGGAAATCATTCAAAATCAATCAGCAAGTAAAACGTAACATGCGTAACTACAAAACCGGCCACTATTAATAAAAAACGTGGTATTAATTTCCACAGCATAAGTCAAATATGTTTTAAATACTGATAAGTGGAGATGCGCAAGGACACTAGCGCGTCAAAACAATACACTAAGTTTTTAGACAGTAAAAGACAAAGTAAATTTGCAGAATATAAAAATGTAAAAATGATTCAAACATGGTAGATCCGTGGGTTTGTGTGTCCGAGCAGCTCTAAAATTGTCAAGATGCGTAAAAAGGTTCACCGTCTGCAAAACGCGCTCCAGCCAAGCCAAAACTACAGTTCCTCAAATACCAAACGTTGTAAAGACAGATGATCTTTGCATAAACAGTTCCATGTCAGAGAAGGGAAAACAATCCACGAAGGAATGCTCCAGTTAAGGTTGGACTTTAAGACTTGAATAATTGCTTTCAATATTTTACAAAATACACTTCCTCAATATCAGCGGAATAAAAAGAAACAGAGAATTCGAATAGGCTACTTAAGTCCTTCTATTCGTTTCTCCATTATTTTATTCTTATACCATTGTCTTCTTCTAGACGTTTTCTAGAAGTTTGCGCATCAGTCACCGGAGTGAACTGACTCGAGTCTCACTGAGCGCGCCCGCCATGACGTCACGTCAGAGAAGCACTCCTTCTCAGGGTTACCAGCCAGTTGTAATTTTATTTTATTTTTTTAATTTATAGTTAAGTGCCAAAGCAATTGAATGTGGATTACTGCAAGAGGAGGAAAACAAAAACGAAGCAGAGTGCAAAAACGCGTTATGTGTGAAAGAATCATTTGTGAGACTTGTACTAGTTATTTGTGCAACATCATTCCCCCTTCTCGTTATATTTATATAAATTTAAAGATACTTACAGAAGATTTCAGGTTCCCATGGAGTACCAACTCCCTGTGCAATTTACGCAAAAGAGGTCTGGCGAATAAAACTAAAAACTTATACCCATATATCATTATTTAAAAGGCCACAATTAAAGGTAATGAAGCATACAATTGACTAGAATCACTACGCATATTAAGGCTGCCTTTATAAAACACAATAAAACGATATCAGATGAAATGAAACAGATTTAGCTCTCCAAACACTGAAAATGGATTGTGATTAGCCAGCATGCTGGTGAAATTAAACGCAAACTCACTAAAGAATCCAAAAGAAAAACACTACGCTGCAATATGCTATAAAAGTGACCTTTATGCGATGGTACTGTATGTACATTTGTGCCTCATACTTCTTTTTGGTAACACAGACTCCACTCACATTGCTCACATTGTCCACCTAAAAACGCACAGTGACTACCACCTACTGGACAAAACAAAAATGACAATAAAAACAAGAATTGAGGACATATGCATTTCTATTTTGAAACCTTTATTTGTCCTCCTAGATTCAAAATGCCTCTGTTATCAAGTAACCATTCAACATTTCGCTTGATCCTTATCGTGTCTCGTCTGAAATGAAGAAAGTAGATTCATTCAGGAAGAGCAGCTGGAACTCTCAATGTCAAAGTCAATGGCAAGGTAAAGATAAAATCAATAAATAAGTCCATCAGGTCTTTTAGAGATACTGCTATTGATTCAGTTCACTTCCTCTCCTCAGCCGTCAGAACTCTAGTGGGTCATAATAGTGTCTGACAGGTCAATTCTTGGTCTATATACGGCTTTCCATTTTTATACTGCGAATCCTGAGGTTTTGTCATTTTTAGGCATCTCAGGTTCTTACATTCCTAGTGTTATTTTAGCATTGAGAGCCTATTATAGATTTTATTATCATTTTGAATTAGTATTTTATATTTTCCCTTTTCATTTGAAATGTTTTTTTTATCAGCCGTTTGGACTCTCATTCTGACGGCACACATTCACTGCAGAGGATCCACTGGTGAGCAAGTGATGTAATGCTCAATTTCTCCAAATCATCTACATCTTGGATGGGTGAGTACATTTTCAGCAACTTTTCATTTTTAGGTGAACTATTGCTTTAAGTTCATATTTTGCATCAGTTAACCTTTCATTTCAAGTAACAAATCTATTTGATGTTTTTAATTTGAGTTAACTATAATATCCCTGGTATGATAAATGTGCACATATGACGTACCACAGTGGTACAGCCTCCTGATCCTTTGCACATCCAGATCAGACAAGTGACTCCTCTGGCCGATTGTTACACTGCTCTCTTTGGGCTCAATTGTGGGCATTCCATTGCGAGAGAAATAATTGCTGCAAAACAGAACTAATGAAATGCTCGGCCAGCCAAAAGCACATCATGCACCCAGACAGCCATGCAAACTATTTCGGGATACATTTCGACTGCAACTCTTACTTTCCATAATGCATGATTGATTCCAGGTCATATTTTAGACCGAGGGTGTTCCCCTTTTTCTTCACAAAATTGTCCTCTTTCCCTGTAAAATAAAATCATATTTGATACTTTAAGGCCCCTGAATTATCAACATGATCAAAACTTTGCTGGAAAACCTGTTGCACTCAATCTACAGTCAGGCTTTTGAGAATGTTTTTGTTCATTTCTCAATCATCACTGTATTTCATTGTTTTCCACTCCACAATAAAACTAGGCATTTTTTCTCACTGACTAACTATTACAGTACTTCACATGTCAGGCTAAACTGGGTTAAAGAAACCTAAACTAAACGTTTATTTATTTTAAATGGTAAAATGATGTTGCAAAAGTGCAACAGTATGATCCCAGACTAAACTGAAATTATGTATACTAAAACTACTACTCTAAATTATGACAGGAATTCCATTAGCATTTTTTAAATTGCGCTGAAATGCTGAATTAACGTAGTAGTATGCATACTGTACCAGAGGCAATGTTTTTACTAAGTATGATCACCACGGTCATATCGGGAATGCTCGTGGTGAAGGATCTCGTGGCAGATGTTCCCAACTTTACATTTGGCCCAATCAGAAGAGGCTGCTCACCCCCATACATCCAACATAAGATGCACACCTTTAGGAAACAACAAACTAGATTAGATATTCGGTGATGACACTAGATGGAAAAGATAGACTTTTTCCAAGTCTGAAATATACTGGAAAAGTGTCCTGACAAAGACATCGAATTACACTCCCTATAAATGAGTTTTTCTCTAATCTGTGACTTACCCTTTTCCGTACTCAAAGTGCAAATAGTCGGTTTCATTAGCATGTGGATTAAATCTGACGCACGTCTTCGCGGAAATCATATTGGCATTAAGAATGTCTTTAGTCCTGTCCTCTGAAGACCGCAAACAAATACAGAAACAAACATTACTTCTCTGAATATCAATGCATCTTCACCTGATATTACTTAAACACACGACATACAGATCTAATCATTGAAATTGTGACTATACGACTAGAGCACACTAAGGTATTAGGGTAATATCTGCAGAAAACACAACACCAAACTCACCAAGAGTAAAAATCAATTTCATAAGCACTGACAAACTTCCATCCACCTCAGCCCACAGCTGACTCACTGCATTCCTGACAGTCTAAAGAAACACAGAGGCAACTGTTTTTGTATCACAAGTGTTCTGAAATATGCAAATGAGGCACTATACTGTATATTAAATAAGCACTGGTTTCATTTTGTTGACATGCAATAGAATAGAATATAGATAGTGTTTTGATGTAAGTCCTACTTAAAGGTATAGTTCATCCAAAAAACAAAATTGTCATAATTTACCCACTTCCATGGTATTTTTTTTTCTCCATATGATGGAAATCAATGGCTACTGTCAATGCTACCAACATTCTTCAAAATATCTGCTTTTGTGCTCAACAGAAGAAAGAAACTCCTACAGGTTTGGAACAACTTGAGGGTGAGCAAATGATGAGAGAATTTTCATTTTTAGGTGAACTATCCCTTTAAGTGGAGATTTTTGGCTCAGCTAAAGAGAGAAAAACTAATTTTGAGAAACTGTCTTTAAAGATACATATTGTAATTGAAATCTACAGACACAAACAGATAAAGTGTAATAAAATAAACACTTTTTCCCCCAGAATACTCTTCCCCAGTATTCTGAAAGAATACTTATTTTGGAAGTAAAACAGCCAAAAATTGACAAGTGCATGAAGGGAAGGGGAAAAAATGTATGTAGTATCTTGCCTTAAATGACAACTAGCTCTAGTCTCGATCGTGAATATAAAACGAGATTTGGGCTTGCTGGCAGTAAGATATCCCCCTCCTGTACAGCATAGTCTCCCTCAAAATCTGTTAAAGACATTGATAAAGACATTAAATCCGGTCTAAAGGCTCTGATCGGTCATGCTGTTGCGTATATACAGATGTCTTACCAAGCTGCGTTTCACTTGTCTTTGTCAGATGAGGTGGTCCACTCTGCGGTGAGTTAATATATCCTGTGGATAAAAGACATCATGTCATATAACTTAAGTTTAGTTTGTTAAAAAAAAAGCAGCAGTTTTCCTTCAGTGGCCTTCGATGTACCCACACGAGTTCCCCAGGCTTAAACACAAAAACAGCTTTATTTGAATCCATATGCTATATCCACGAATGTAAACTCAGAATATAATGAATTTCTGATTTACTTGTGACAGATTTGTGTGATCAGTGTAACTTCAGAAAGCCATGCAACCAGTAAAACGAACCACAGCATTTAAAACAGTTGCTAACTAGTGGAAAAAGGGACAGTATTATATAAAACGACATGTCCTTTTAAACACGTCCTGGATTTGCTACTTATTTGGCCACCTGGGGCTCTTTATTAGTTCTGTGAACTTCAATGAGAGCCCGTTTACTATAGCGGTAGGAACCAAAAACGCTCATGATGTAGTTCCATTCCGGACGGTTTTATTGGTGGGACACAGAAAAACACACGTGAATTGTTTTGTTGTTGACTTAGTTGTCAGCTGATAGTCGAAGATAGTCTTTTGTGGTGAGCGTGTAAAATTAATTAAATTATTATAGTTTTTACTACAAGAGATAGATTTCCACCAGCCAGGAATGTTTTATAGAGCTTAATCTCCCTGATGATTGCCGTCGGAAAATAACCGCGGTAATTTTTTCCAAAAATCTGATTTTGATGATGATTTTGATATTCATGCTATCTGAAAGCATAAACCGAATTAATATACTAAATACGAAATATCCCTTATATATCGACATGTATCCCTATACATTTTCGTTTCTGGCAAATTACCACAGTATCAGCAGTGACTGTTACTGTAAATCAGATTCATTTCGGTTTAAAGATGTGTAAGAGTTCTGTTCTTCGATATATTATTAAATATGTTTTTATGTTATGACAACGACTTTGTATACCATGGTGCTGAATGTTTACCATATTCACCATGGTATTTCAAAGCACTTTCATGGTGAACAACATGGTATATTGCCATGGCACTTCTATAGTTCCATGATGCATTTTGAATATTTTTGTTAGTATATGGACTCTGGTATTGACAGAAACTATGGCTACAATTGTTTATATAGTAAATATGTTATTCATCTGATCATGAATATATTCTCTTATTCTAACAGAACTCAAAATGACGAGGTGGGCCCGAGCGAACAACGTCCATAAACACAAAGCAGCAGACGCCACACCATGGAAGCAGCTGAAGGCGAGTGGGAATGCTGGAGAAGCAGGAACAAGCACCGGTGGCCGACACATCAAGCAGGGGCCGGGCGTAAAGAAACACAACCCAAAAAAGAAGAAACGGGAGCATGACAGTGACGACGTGAACGGGTTTCTGGAGTATTTAAAGCAGGCCGGTCAGACGCCCGCGGACCAGGATCTGAGAGAAGAAGTGGCAACAGCACTGAAGAAAGACGTGAGACGAGAGAACAGACGGATAAAGAGACAAAACACCAAAAAGAACAATATGGCGAGGAGCAGGATGCATGTAACATGATTACAATGGGAGCGTTTTTCCACCATGGAATAAAAAAATAAAAACGGTAAATGATACAATTCGGTCTTTTTTCCCCTCGCATTTTTGAGTTTATATCTCTTTTTTTTCTTTCAGTTCTTACATTTTTTCTCTCTCTCATAATTCTGAGAAAACCGGCGATATATATATACTGGCAAATTTCTCAGAATTGTGAGATGTTAACTCGAAATTACAAGAGTTTAAGTCAGAATTACAAGATATAAACATGCAATTCTGGGGGGGAATTAAGAATTGCGAGATATAAACTCAAAACTGCAAGATATAGGCTAAAAGACTGCGAGATGTATCTCAAAATTGAGTTTACAAACTCAGAATTGCGAGATATAAACTCAAAACTGCAAGATATAGGCTAAAAGACTGCGAGATGTATCTCAAAATTGAGTTTACAAACTCAGAATTGCGAGATATAAACTCAGAATTGAAATAAAAACTCACAATTCTAAGAAAAAACTCAGAATTGTGAGAGAAACTAGCAATTTTAAGAAAGTCAGAATTGCGAGATGTGGTCGGCGCCAGTATAGACATATAGCGCCGTTCGAGTCCCAGCTCACGGACCTTTCCCAATCCTGTCCCCTCTCTCTCTCACACTTCACTTCCTGTCTAAATTACTGTCCTAATTAAAAAATTAAAAAAAACACCAAAAGAATTTATATAATTTTAAGAATTGAATAAGAGGAAATTAGCTTCCATAGATCATTAATAAGTCTAAATATGAAATATCTCACTTATGTTTTCATATTTTCCATCTAGATCTGCTTCAACTGCCGGAAGCCTGGTCATGGTCTCGCTGACTGCCCAGAGGCGGATAACGATGAAGAGATGGGTCGCGGGATCTGTTATCGGTGTGGTTCTACCGAACATGAGATCCAGAGATGTCATGCTAAAGTGGATCCTGCCATGGGTACGAGTTGAATGAGACGTTTGGATGCTTAAAATGAACAAAATCAAACCTGCTATGACTTACTGAATTAATGCAGCTCTTTTCTAGGTAATTACCCATATGCCAAGTGTTTTATCTGCGGTCAGACTGGACATCTGTCCAAAGCCTGTCCTGACAACCCAAAGGGACTGTATGCTGCAGGTCAGTGATGTCCCTCTTTAAGCACTAAATATCTTTGAATTTTAACACTCATGTCGTGGAGCTTTGTTTTTGTAGGCGGTTGCTGTCGGGTTTGTGGCTCAGTGGAACACTTTCAGAAAGATTGTCCTGAACACCAGAACTCAAGTGAGTTGCTCAGTCCTAACGTAACCACATCCACTGAAAATTTGGTATCTTCTTCTTTAATTGGAAATAGAAGCATGTAAATTAACTCAAACTTCTTTTTGGCAGCTAATTCCATCACCCTCAGTCGGCTGTCCAATAGAATCAGTGCTGACCACGAGGACGTCCATGTGCCTGTGAAGAAAGCACGAGCCAAAAAAGACAAAGTGGTGGTGTTCTGATCCACCGCGGCTTGAGAAGAAATGGACTATTTAACTGATCGTTGCAATTTAGGTTTGGTTTCTCCAGTCATGAACTCACCAATGTAGCCAGTAATTTACTGTGAATTTATGGTCAAAATTTTTACAGTGTAATTCTGTACAATTAAAAAAATAAAACAAATTATAAAGGCATATATATAAAACTTTGTCCTATAATTGTATAGCTGCTTATATTTTCTGATTTTTATGTTGCTCTGAATACTCTGAAAATGTCAGAATTTGGATTTTCCGTTCCGGTAATTGTTTTTAAGGATCCGCCATTAGATCGCGACAGTGCGTGCGTGCATATGAGAGCGAGCGCATATTTGGAGGTTATGCATTGGTCCTCAACATATTTTTGACCGTGACCAGTCAGCTTTCTTCAAACTCGCTCTCATTGATGTTTTGTGAGCAGCAGAACGTTTGGAGAGAGTGTAATAATACCAGAAATAATACCAAATAAAGTGAACTATTATAATGTATAAACACTATTAACATAGCTATACGTTAGTATAGCTCACTCCAAAACAAATCATATAAATGTAATGGTATTCAGAACAGAACAAGAATGAAATAAAAATATATAAACCAAAACAAAGCGAAACTGAAAGTACCAGGCGTTATTTGGGCTCACGCACCTCTCATTCGGCACAAATCCTAATGTTTCCATATTCACGATGTATTTGAATGAAACTATTATTTATAATGTAGTGGCTTTGTACTTCACACGCGTTCGTATATCGACAGAAATATCATCTTCACATGAGCAAAAATGTGCTTGGCATACAAAGTGGACCAGTTATACCACAGACTATTTAAATTGACCAGTGTAACCTTTTATATTTTTGGTTGACTATTTTATTTTGGTAATGAACAGACTGCGATGTCAAGTTTGAGTTGCGAATATGTGGTGTGTGTGTGTGTGTGTG